GGAGAGCCCTGGGCAGCCTGCAGTAGGTATCACCCCAGAACCTTCCTTGAGCCCAGCACTGTGATTTGCTGGTGCAAAGCCAGGATTCGAACTCTAAGGCCAGTGCCTGCCTCCATTCTGCCACCCATTTCATCCAAGCTGATTCCCAGAGGCTAGAATTTGGGGTGAATCCTTGGGATTTGTCTTTTCCTCATCAGAAAGGTGAAGAGAGCCACCCCTGCCCTGTAGGAGATTGGGAGGGCCCCATGGGCGCAGGGGTACACCATCTCTGTACAGTTCCTAGAGAGGCCCCGCAACCAGTGCTCATGATCGGTGGCATAGCTCCCCAGTCACCGGAGCCCAAGGTTATAGTGAAAGTATCAATTATGCACACAGGTTGAGAAAACAGATTTTATCACCATTCACAGTAGGTGCTTTCTTAACTAATCTCCATGTAACCAGCTCATGGGGTTCACTGGCATTTCTGGTGTTATACGTCATTCGATCCCCTTGGCTAGCAGATCCCTTGCTGGAATCCACACCCTCTGCTCCTATCAACCCATTGAGCCATCAACTTGCCAAACATCAGTTGGGTTTGTTCTCAAACCCATTGATGCCAGTTGAGTTTTTATGGTTACAAAACTTCATTGGATATTATGCCAATCTAGGGCCATTTTGCCCTCAGGCCCATTCTATCCCCTTCCCTCATTAGTCTCTATAATTCAGGGCTCTGATTCCATTAAGTCAGCTGGTTTCAGCTCCACTCCACTGATGGGAGGCACTGGGAGGAGGTTAAAGGATGGGAGGAAGAGAGATCCCTTTGTTATTTGTCTCAGAGGCATTGCCTTGGTGGCTGAGTCTCCTTTGTGGCTCCAGCAAATGCGACTCTGTTCTAGCACGCTTCTGCTGCTGCAGGTGGGGCAGGGTGTGCTGGCAACACCGCCTCTCCCTGCATCTCTCTTGCCAAAGGATGGCAGTGGCTTCCTGCTGTGGCCAATCTCAGGGCTCCTCACCACCATTTGGCTTCTCAGCTCTTCCAATGCCTGCGTTGCCAATAACCCCCCAATTACTCAATTTCCAACTTCCAATTTTCAATACTCAAAGCAGCTTCTGTTTTCCTGATTGTACCCTAACTGATAGGGAGGCAGTGTTATCAACACTATGATGCAAAACAGGAAGGCCTCTTTCTAGGAAACAAGGTTGAACACCTTGGAAAGATGTGACGAAGGCAAGTTGCTAAGAATAAAATGAATCCAGTATGGGTGGGACATGGTAAAAAAATTGGGGGAAATAGTAAAATCTAGATACTGGATGCGGATTGCTTCAGAGGCATCTTTACACTCACTTTCCACTTTAAAGGAATCCAAACTAGGGGTGCCTGGGTGGCTCGGTCGGTCAAGTGTCTGCCTTTGGCTCAGGTCATGATCCCAGGGTCCTGGGATGGAGTTCTGCATCAGGATCCCTGCTCAGTGGGGAGCCTGCTTCTCCCTCTCTCTCTGCTGCTCCCCCAGCTTGTGCTCTCTTGCTCTCTCTGTCAAATAAATAAAATCTTCAAAAAAGAAAGAAAGAAAAAAGAAAGAAGGAAGGAAGGAAGGAAGAAAATCCAAATTGGAAATTGTAGGAGATGCCTTCTGGGCTGGCTTAAGCCAGAAGAACAAGAGGAAGACCATTTCATGTACATTTATAAGTTTAAAGTTAAAATAAAGGGTTTATAGAACATAAATATTGTTTTTTAATAATTCCTTTCCTCAAAAAACTGTTTAATCTGATCTGATCAGTTCAGAGGTCACTATGGTATCAGATATTCTTTTCGGTAAAGAAAAGGAAACCCGGCTGTCCGCTGCATGCTGGGAGACTATACAGTCTGAGCTAAAGGCAGGGAATTCCAGGAACTGGGCAGCTCCTACGTGCCAGGCGCACTCACAATATTTTCTCATTTAATCATCTTTGCCATTGTGAGAAGCGGGGGCTGCAATTGGCCCATCTTACAGGCAAGGAAGTGGGCTCAGAAAAATAAAGCCTCTGGCCCACAGTCTCATAGCTTCACGAACATTCCAAAGCCAGGCTTCAGGAATGTTCTTTCTGCTTCCGCAGCCACCTCCAGAGGGTCCTTCAGGCTGACACACACCTTGGAGGGGGCAAGAGGAGATTATAAGCCTCTTGAGGGAAGGACCAAACCTGGTGCCCATGCCCCGGGGAACACATTAAGCCACCTGCCGTGCAAATGTGCCCCCCGGGGGCCCAACACAGCCTTCTGGGCCTCCTCCAGTTCCTGGGCCAGGACTCAGCTTTCTGGGGGAGGGGAAGTCCCTCGGGGTGACCAAGTCACAGGTTAGTTTAGGGGGGACACAATTTACCCATGGAAAAAACAGCGAAGCGTGTAGTAGGGGAGATATTAGAAACTGGAGGTGGTGTTGCTAGATCGGAAACAGCTCCTGGGCTGGGAAGCAGGGGGCCAGGCTTCCACTGACTCACAGGGTGAGCTTGGTGGAGTCTCTGCCCTTTGGGGGACCTCAGTTTCCATTTCTCTTAAAGAGGGTCTTTCTTACTGTGCCTGTCTCTGATCTGTTTTGCAACGTGGCCACCTCCAAAATGCTCCAAATGTAACCAGGAGGCCAGGGCCCCTTGGCAGATTCCATCTGTGCCACAGACCCAAACAGCCCTGCCGGGGCCAGGCCAGCCGGTTGGCTCACAATGGGGGCCGTCTGTCCTCCCATGTGACGGATGCTTCTTTACCTGTGCCTACTCATAACAGACCCCAAATTGCGTCACGGAGACTGGCAAGGAAACCATGCTTCCCGTGCCCTCACCCGCTTGCCTGTCCCTCTGAGAAATGTGTTATCCCCATTTGACAGGGAAGGAAACTGAGGCCCAGAGAAGGGAAGTGTCTTGCCCCAGGTCTTGCAACTGGGATTCAGCAGAGCTGAGAGTGGGACTCAAATCTGCCTCTAGAACCCTGTGGCTTTTACCATAAACCTGCTTCCTCCCCGGACAAATTACAACCCACCACCACTACCACCACCCACTCGCCATTGAGGAACAAAAAGACTGAACCTTCACAGGGTTCCAAAGGAGGCACAAGCAGCTGAGTTTCCAAGGGCCGTACTGCTCCCTGGTGACCAGTGTGGCTGTGGGTGGGAACAAGTCTCTGTGGGGCCTCAAACAGGCCCCTCCTCCTCCTCCTGGATGCCCCCCCTGCTTCGCGTTGGCCTACAGAGACCACCGCGTGTGCGAGGATGGTTCCTGGGGCCCGGCTCCAAGCTGAGGCCTCCTGAGAGAGGCCGGGGCAGTGCCCAGGAAGCAGAGGGCTTCCTGAAGTCTCCGGACTGAGCTCAAGGGCACTGCAGGGTGCTGTGGTATTACAGCTGAAGCCAGGCTGGTCAATCAGAGGCTGGCGTGCTAATCCCACTCACAATACTCTGTGGCCTTGTACGAGCTGACTTCAACATCCTGGCCTCAGTGTCTGACCTATGAGATGGGTGAGTAGAGCTTACAAGGGAAACGGTGAAACCACCACCCTCCCCCGCCCCCGACCTGCCTGGGCTTCTGGGGACAGAGTATAGGATTGAATCACTTTCCATGTCTTTTCTGCTTCGAAGTCTCTCTGAGCCTTGAACCCTCTGGGACACAAAGGATTCCAAAAGTGCCTTGATAAAGGATAAGACAGGGGGGTGTTCAGGGAGGTGGGGGGACAGCCGTGAAGGCAAGGGAAGCCCAGGCCCACTAAGCTAAAACGAAAAACCCCAACAAGATGAAAGTGGCCCAAATGAGCAAAGGGCCTTGAATGCCAAGCTCAGGGCTCAGAACCCGAGCTCTGCAGAGGGCTCCTTGGCACAGACGGCCTGGCTGCCAGCCTTCACGGGGTAGGCCTCGGTGGGCAGGCTGCACTGGGGCGTGAGCACGGGTGATGCCACTCCATGTGTTTCCCTTTGTACTTGATCCCAGCTGCCATAAAATCCCCCTGAAGTGCCACACATGTGGACGCTTCTCCCTGGCAGCAGCGGTGGTGGACCACGGCAGAGTGTCAGCCGCAGCCCGGGGGCGGGGGGGGCGTGGAGGGGAGCCCCCACCACCCGCTGGTGGGTCTGGCCAGGGCCCTCGGGGCTCCCAGCCCGCCCAGGCCAACACTGGCCTTAATTAAAAATGAGTCTCCTACAGGATCCAAACCACCGCCCGGCCACCCCCTCCAACTCTCTCAGTTCTGCTCCCGGGCCGCGTGCTGAGGCCAGCCCCACAAATAAAAGCCACCACTTTTCCCCCCCCCTCTTTCTCTTTCTTTCTCTCTCTCTCTCTTTTTTCTCTTTTCCAAAAAGAGAGAGGCAGCCACAAAATCTTCTAAGAGGCCATGACGTCACGCCCAGGTGACCACAGCCCAGCCAATGGGCCAAGGCCGCGAGCTGCCTTCTTGCATCCTGTGAGCTGAGGTTGGGTTGACACTGTGAAGGCCTGGTCCCTCAACCACAGAACCACAAGGCCAGGCCCTCAGCCGCCTTCAGGGCCCTGCGCGGGAGCTGGTTGGCTCTTGGTCCTCCCCACCCCCGGGCCGCCCTCGCACCCACTGGAGCCCGGGCTCTGTTGGGGGTGAGGCTCATTCATTCATTCCCCGTGGCGCTGATGTTGGGCCTGGCTCTGCTCTCGCTGCCCTGCGAGCTCCTCCGCCCTGGCTGCTGAAGGCCCCTTCCCGCCATCTAATGATACACTCTGCATACGCTTCTGTTGAAAATTTGTGGCTAGACATTCCTGTGGGACTGGGAATCCAAATTCTTGGGTACAAACAGAAACTTACTTTCCTTGGGGATTTTTTTTTTCTCTCTCTCTCTCGCTCACACACACACACTCTCGCGTTCTTTCCTTTTTTCTTTTTCGTAGCAATAGGGGAAAAAAAAGAGACAAAACAAAAAAACAAAAAGCGACACCACTACCCACCCCCCACTTTTATTTTCAAAAGTAGCTAGGAAAAAATAAAACAACAGCCAACCAAGTCAATCCCAAGCCAACCCCCTGAAGGTCTGATTTCTCGCCTTCCTCAGAGAGGGGCATGGCATCGAACAGCATCTTCGATTCCTTCCCGACCTACTCGCCAACCTTCATCCGCGGTGAGTAATGACTGCCCAGGGCCCTGGGCTGATCCTTTTGGGTGGGGAGCTGTGGCCAGGCTCCGGACCGCGTCCCTCCACCGACCACCCTGGCTGCCTTCAAGTGCGTGGCCTGCCTACCTAAATCTGCTGACTCCTGAAAGCTTGAGGTGGGAAGAGGGGTTGGTGGCCTCCGTGGTCTCCTGGGGTGGACTTTTGTGGGACTTTTACCCTCAGGTGGTGGAGACAGTAAGTGGTGGGGGGGAATGGATGCCCTAAGACCTCAGAGGCTTACCTGGAAGGCTCCTGGGGTGGAGAGGACATGGAGAGTCTTCCTGTGACCTGAGGCTTCCTGCCTAACTGACGGGGCCCTCGGGCCCTGCAGCCCCAGCCCCTGGCCCACCCGGAGAGCTCAGACCCTCCACCTGAGCTCAGGCAGACGGGGGCTCTGGGACATGCTCAGTTCTCCCAGAGCCAGGCCAGCTTCTGTCAAGAGCCATGGATCTGCAGATCTTTCTGAGGACTTCTCCCAGACTTTCCAAAGTCATCCTGGGCTAAGGGAGGCAGAGGGAGGAGAAGGTGGCTACAGGCTTTTGTCGACAACTTGCATAGCTCTGGGGTGCTCTGAAACTGGGTAAGCATCGGGGGCGGGGGGAGCAGGCCTGCAGAAGGTTTACAGACTTGGCCACGGGTTTTGGGTGGGGGTAAGAAAGTGTTTCTGCGTGGCTTTTTTTTGCCTCTATTCATGGCCTAGAGTGACCCAGAGGTTTGGGCTACGTCCCTCAACAAGAATAGGGTTCCAGGATCCCCCACTTGGAACCTCTGATGGAGGCTGGAACCCAGGGGGAGAACTTTCCTGCCTCTGCCTGGCTTTTAGGGCTGATGTGCCCTGGCCTCAGACAACCCCCTGCTGCCTTCCTTCCCCCCCGCAACCCCTGCATCCACCCTGCTCCCCAGCAGGAGTCCAGACGGGGCTGTGGCACCTGAAATTGGGAGTCAGGAGGCCCTGAGCTTGAGTCCCAGGTCAGTGGCTACCTTGCCAGCGGCCTTAGGCAAGTAATGTCACCTCTCTGTGCTCCAAACGGAGGCCCCCCAGGCTGTGACATTCGAGTTGTCTGAGGCTGGGGATGGGCTGTGTATGAAGGCAGTGCCTCTGCGTTATACACGGAGACAGGGTCTCTTCCAGAATAGAGGGGCCGAATGGGATCTAAAACCCAAGGGTTAGGGGGCTGGTGTCGCCTTGTCTCAGCTGAGGTGTGCAGCTGAGACACAGAAGTTGGTCCGACTGTCTGCCTTTCTGCCCATCGGCCCGTCCCACCGCTGACCAACTGAGTGACTCCGAGCCAGTCCTTGGGCGGCCAGCTATGGGCAGGGACCGGAGCACGTTTAGGCGCTTGTTGTTTAAAGGTTTCTGCGAGGGCTTCTCTGAGGTGGGGCGTCTTCCTCCTCCCTGGAGGGAAGCTGAGGCAGGCTGTCGGGGGGCAGATGGGAACTGAGTGGGGGAGGAAGGGGGGCTGCCGTCCCCGAGGCGGATGCACTCCCGCCAAACCTGGTTGTGGCTGGTGACAGGCAGCAGCCTCGGGTCTGGGAGCTGACAGCCGTGGCTCCTTCCTTCAAGCTGCTCCTATTATAACTCTATTCCCTTTGTAGTCCCCGGAGCTAATTAAAGGCAGTCTGTGGCAAGAAAATAAGAGTTTATAAAAACCATTTGCTGGGTCTTTGTAATCTGTATTTCTCCCTCCGTGAGCAAGATGGGGAAATGTAGTGTTTAAAACAAAGGAATTTGGGGAGACGGGCCTAAGGAGCTGCCACCTAAGATGGGTTCCTGAGGCCACAGGGCCGGAGAGATGGCAGAGGGAGCAACAGGGGGAGCGAGAGGAGAGCGGGTGGCTTTGGGCTCAGTGTGTGCCCAGGGCCAGGAGGCTCCTGGGCACAGCAGGCTGATTCCAGGCCAACAGGGACACAGATATGCTTTGTGAGCCAGGGTCCTCAGGGATGGCTCCAGGTCCGGGGTCTGAGGCGTCTGTCCACACCCTGTCTGACTGACCCCTTCTCTCCAGCCCCGCTCTGTCTGCCGTGTCTGCTCGCAGCATACTTGCTTTGGGGGATCTGTCTCCCAAACCTGTCCGCCGAGATTTGCAGGCCGCAGCTGCCGATTCTATCCCCAAAGAGGTCCAGCCTCTGGGTTGGATAAAATACTGGGCTCCCCACTGCCCCACACAGGGTCTTTACCCTGTTCTGAACCACAGATCTTTCTAGAGCCTCAGGAAGCCCCTAGACTTCTTTTCAGAATCACATTCAGATGCATAAACCCAAATCCAGAGGATGATGCAGGCAACCAAATCTATGGCAATGAGGGAATCCAACTATTAAAAAAAAGCAAGTGGTGAGGTTGTGGCCACGTGCCTCTGTCGTGACATAGGGAGCGCAGAGACCTTGGGTGCTCGGTATCGGCCACCACACAGTGGTGAGGAGCGTAAATGGCTTTTCCAGATACTCTGTGACAGCCCTAACGACACCGAAGAACACCTGCGACTTGTGGGAACAATGTCATGTGTTCCCACCCCAGGCCACAGATGTCCTGAATTCAGTGCAAGCGGGAACTCCAGGCCGACTGCCCCAGTCCCTCTGCAGGGGGGCTCAGGATGTCGCCACCCCCACCCCTGGAGCTTTCAAGCACAGGGATTCCCAAATCCAAAACGCACCTCAGTTCACTCTGGAGAAGAGGTCTGGGCAGAGGGTGGAGAGCCATTCCATTCCCACCGTGAAGTAGAGGGTGAGGAGGAAAGAGGACAAAAGGGGCCCCCCCGGCCCCCCAGCAATTCTCCATTCTTCTTCCTCCTCCTCCTCCTCCTCCTCCATCCCTCCTCCTCCATCCCTCCTCCTCTGCTGGGACTAGCCCCCGGACAAAAGGTATTTATTCCTCTCTTTGACAAATGGAGACTCTGAGGCCTCATGGCTCTGACTCAGACATACGGCACGACCATGGGCAAGGCTCTTCCTCTCTTTGGGCCTCGGTCTCCCCATCTGGCGAACACAGGCAACGGCCTTGAGGACGCCCAAGGGCCCATCCGTAGCTCCATGGAAGGCCAGCACCCTTGTCCTAAACTGCCTGTGAGGCCCTTCTCTGGGGCACCCCCCTCGCAGCACATCCCTTGACCTACCCACGCAGGCAAAAGCACTCCCCTTGGGGACACTGAGGAAGCGTTCCCTTCTGGGGAAGAGACCGAGGAAATGGGCCTGAACTGTAACATGCGGGATTTAGGAGACCCTGGGGAGGCAAAGGTTTGCATTCACCGGTAATTCCACAAAGGCTTATCAAGGAGTAGAGGTGGAGATTCAAGCTGGGGCTCTGGAATCCGAAGTTGGCCCTCTGTAGCCTCAGGCAAGTCCCTTCGCTTCTCTGTGCCCGTTTTCTCATCAGTAAAGCGGGGATGATGATTCCACCAAACTCACGGGGCTCTGGAGAGAATGAAATGAGCAGGGAGCCCGGCACAGAGTCCACGCCCCATAAATGTCCTCATTCTTAGAAGTTCCACGAGCCTGGTCTTGGCTGGGATCTTGGATACAAGAGAGAGACTGGGTCAGGCTCTCGGCCCTTGAAGAGCTCAAGGTCAAGGTGTGGAAAGAGATAAGTAAACTGTAAATTGTACTGGGGTGTGATCAATGTTTTAAGGGGGGGGGGACGAGGGGTCTAGCCCACCCCCGGGGAAAGGAAGCACAATTCTCCCGGAGAAGTGGCACTCAGGCTGGGTCTTGCTGGGTGAAGAAACAACAAAGGGGGAGAAGACATCCCAGGAGAGAGAACAGCCTGGGCCAAAGGTGGAGACAGGAATGAGATGACCCTGGGCACCCCCACCCACCCACCCACCCAATGGCCAGAGCGAGCGGAAGTGCTGAAGTGGACGGACAACCTGTCTGTTGGGCCTCCAGTCTGTCAGGCCTCCAGTCTGGCCATGATTATCTTAGCAATGGTTGGGTAGTCGGAGGGTAGCTTCTCCCCTGAAGACGCCTGGGAGAAACGGAAAATGGCCTCTCGGGCAGGAGGCAGGCCCGTGTGGAGGCAAGGGGCGGACAAAATGGCGCCGGGCAGACCTAGCCCGGATGGTCTGACTCAGAGGTCACCGGACAGGGAGGAAGCTGCCCAGACCAGGGAGGTCAGTCGCCGTCCTTTCCTAAGCTCTGGGCAGGAGCCAACAACAGGGGATTCTCCTGGTTTTTGCACTGAAAGCCCCAAACCCCAGGCACCGCAGGACAGTTGGTCACCCTGAGTGCTGTGCCCATGGCAGCCTCCCCCACTGCCCCCCCCAACCCTGGGAGATGAACAGGGTAACCAGACGGACCGCCAGCCATCCCGCGCCCACTAGGGTGCTTACCTGGCGCCACGTCTGCTAGGCCCCTTTGACGGTGGCTCCTGAGGCCGCCCTGCACACACCCATCTCCCCAGACCACCCTGGCTGTCCAAAGTGCCCACCAGGGAGACATTCCTGGGAGCCCCCCACCGGCCTCAGGGTCTGGGCTGGCATGAGCCGGCCCCACACAGTGGGACTGTGTGTCCAGGCCTTACCCACGCCCACTACGGCAGCGGGCGGCCCCCAGCGGCCCCACCGGTCACATAGAGGGCCCATTGACGCCTGGGCCTTGAGGCTTGAAGTGGCCGCATCAAAGCTGAGGCTTGCTTGGTTACCTGAGGGAGTGGGGGGAGTGTATGGAGAGGAGGGGAGCAGGGGGAAGGATGCCCCTGGACAACAGGCCCTGAAAACCTGACCTTCCAGAAGGCTCTGAGAGGTAGAAGAGAGCAGCAAACTCTGATCCCAACCTGGCCCCTGAGCCAGCTCAGACTACTCAATAGGTGGGGAAACTGAGGCCTGGGCTCAGAGTTTGCCTGGGGGCTGGAGCAGGGCAGGCAGCTGATACATGAGTCCCTATGCCCGTCTCCATCTCCCGGAGATGCCTCGTCTGCAGGCCCTCTTCTCAATCTACCTTTCAGAGTGTGCCCCGCCCCCGGGTACTGGGGAGTC